ATTGGAAATCCTTATTTTGGTTTTGGTTGAAAGTTGTTTGGAGTTCCAGATATTTTTCAACTGTAGAAATGCATCCCTCGCTTTGCCAATCCGTACCCTCACATCTGCATCGGATCCACCTTTCTCGTCGATGATGCTGCCCAGATATGTAAAGGTGTTAACGTCCTCGAAAGCATCTCCATCAAGGGTCATTTGTTTGGTGCATGTTGTGTTGCATCGGAGAATTTCGCTTTTTCCTTTATGTATGTTGAGACCTACTGCTGCAGAGGCTGCTGCTACACTGGTCGTCTTCTCTTGCATTTGTTGTTGATTGTGCGATAGAAGAGCCAGGTCATTTGCGAAGTCCATATCGTCCAGCTGCGTCCTAACTGTCCAGTTGATACCGTGCTTCACTTCAGATGTCGATGTCTTCATAATCCAGTCGAACACCAGGAGAAAGAGAAAGGGTGAGAGTAAGCAACCTTGCCTGACACAACTCTTCACCACGGAAGAGTCTGTTAGCTGTACTTCGTCTACGATTTTGCAGTTGAATTCATCATTAGAGTTCCGTATGATGTTTACTATTTTCTCAGGCACACCGTAGTGTCGAAGAAGCCTCCACAGTGTTTTCCTATCCACGCTGTCGAATGCTTTCTCGTAGTCGATGAAGTTGATGTAGAGTGGTGAGTTCCATTCAATTGATTGTTCCACAATGATCCGTAATGTAGCAATTTGGTCAGTACACGATCGATCCTTACAAAATCCGGCCTGTTGATCTCGAAGTTGGGCGTCTACGAAGTCCTTCATTCCGTTAAACAATACCCTGTTGAAGACTTTGCCTGGTATTTAAAGAAGAGTGATGCCTCTGTAGTTCTCACACTTGCTGAGATCGCCTTTCTTTGGTATTTTGATGAGGTATCCTTCTTTCCAATCTGATGGTACTCGTTCCAAATCCTAAATCTTCTTGAAGAGAATGTGAAATATTTTCGCAGTTGCTTCTACATCTGCTTTCATTGCCCCTGCCGGAATGTTGCCTGGTCCTGCTGCTTTGCCTTTCTTGACTTGTCTGATAGCCATGCAGATCTCATCAGTTGTAGGTGCGCCAATATTAATTGGGATGCCCGTGGATGCTGCTTCGATGTTGGGTGGGTCCAGTGGAGCTGGTCGATTCAAGAGTTCCTTAAAGTGCTCTACCCACCTATTTCGCTGTTCCTCAGTGTTGCCGTCATTGCTAGATCTTCCACATATTTTCGTTTGTCAGCTCTCATGCTCTTCTTCACTTCCCTGTTTGCTTCTGTGTATGCAGTTTGTGCGGTAACTTTCTCTGCTCTTGTTCGGCTGACATTGATTGCTGCATTCTTGTTCCTCCTTTTTTCAATTTTTTCGAGAGTATCAACAGAGATCCATTCCTTGTGATGGTACTTCTTGTGACCCAGAACGTCGTGACATGCTGAAGTGATTGCCTCCATTGAGTAGATCCTGAAAGGCCTGGACCCTATTGGTGAGGGCTATCCTGAATTCGTTGGGCTTTACAGTATCCCGAAGAAAGACTGTATTAAACTTCCGTCATGTCGTCTGTCCCGTCGTCCAGTGCTTCTTTAGTTTCAGTTTCATTTTGGCGATCAGCAAATTTTGATCTGAAGCTATATCAGCTCCTCTCCTGGTTCTCACATCCTCCATAGTCCTTCTGAACGTTTTGTTGATACAGATATGGTCAATCGGGTTTTGAGTAGTGTGATCCGGTGAAATCCATGTGGCTTTGTGAATGCGTTTGTGCGGGAATATTGTGCCACCGATGACCAGTTTGTTGAATGCACATAGGTTTGAAAATCTCTCACCATTTTCGTTTCTTTCTCCCAGTCCATGTCGTCCCATGATGTCTTCATATCCAGTGTTGTCCATGCCAACCTTGGCATTTAGGTCTCCCATAAGAATCGTCAAATCCTTTGGTGAACATTTCTCGACGATTGACTGCAGCCTTTCGTAGAATTGATCTTTATCGTCGTCATTGTAGTCGTTGGTAGGTGCATAACATTGGATGACGTTCATTGTAATGTCCTCTTTCTTTGTTTTGAAGGATGCTTTAATGATCCTGGGTCCATGAGATTCCCATCCTATCAGTGCCTTTTGTGCATGTTTGGACAGCATCAGTGCAACTCCTTGTGTATGTGAAGCATTTTCCTCTTCATGACCAGAGTATAACAGCAGTTCCCCTGAAGCTAGTCTCAGTTGTCCTATTTGTATCCAATGCGTTTCACTGATGCCGAACACCTCGAGATTGTATCTTTTCATTTCTGCCGCAACTTGAAATAGTCTTCCAGTCTCCCACAGTGTACGAACGTTCCATGTACCTAAAAAGATGGTTTTTATGGTTGTCAGGAAAGGCATCAGCCCCGTGACTTCCGAGGGAACTCGGCTTTCATCACGCGACGTCATAATTCTTCTTCCAACTCTCAGGGCAGAGTGGAAATGGTTTGAATTATTTTTTCAGGTCAGCGTTTTTTTGGCAACTTAATTTTTGACGGAATGGGGTCGCCAATATCATGTCCAACCCTCTTCCTTTATCCGGGCTAGGGACCGGCAGTAGCCCCGAAGGTTCTACTGACGGAGTTACCCAGTACTTGGTCAAGGAAATATGTAGGCCTATCAAATGGCCACAGCAAAGCCACATGTAACGAGGGCATAAATGAGGCGTCTCAAGGAGCTTAGTGTGTTTCCCACTTTCGCTGACCCCAGGCAGACAACACAATAGTGAGGGGGTACTTTCTAAATGTGGCCGCAACCGATAGTAATTTAATAGTGGTTGACCACTCTGAGTTAGTGAGGGACTTATTACAGGAAATTACCACGAACGCGGCAGCGAAAGCTAAAACAAATCGAGCTCTTAATGATGGAGAACTCAAGATTGTTGGTATTCTTACTGGCAGCTACCTCAATCAGTTAAACCGGGCACGCACAATCGCGGAAAAATAATCAACCCTAGTACTGGCTCATAGTTTGCGAGATATCCGATTACTTTTTTAGTACTAGGTAAATTAGAACCGCTGTGACCAAGAAAGTCACTGGCATGTAACAACGTCCGCCCTACAATCCTGAAACACTTGGAAGAAAGTCATCAGCTCAACGGTGTGTGATCGGTTCAGTTATTCACTAGAGTCCCATCAACATCCTGGCACTGGCTTGGGGCAAGAGGAAAACCTGCTGAGATAAAAAAAATGCAGGCCAGCGTGATATTTTTTGACTTCACGAAGGCTTTTGACATGGTACCCCATGTACTCCAAACAGCTACGGTTGTGAAGATGAACTTTACTGCTCCACCTCTATCTTGGCTCCCAAACAGCCTAGAAAACGGGAAGTTGAGGTAAATTGAGCTCATGCTACTTAGCGAGACTCAAAATCAGGAGTTTTACCGAGAACCATTTCAACCCATCTTTCTTTTCTATACATGTTAGTGGCTTGTTAGATCATAACAACATCTATGAGACGTTAATCCATGTAAAGATCTGAATGTCCATAAAAAGCTAGGGTGAATATTTTTGAGCTACAAAAGGAACTGACAACAGTAGGTGACATGTTAAAATTTAACCGGTCAAAATTCCATACGATGAACATTCGGCTCAATGCGTAATTACCGCCTGAATATCATAGGACAGATAGAATTTGGCTAGCAGTGTAATCGAGGGTGCGCTTTTCATCTTGGACCGGTCCGCTAGGTATAAATGTATCTCAAAGTTGATGTTCACTCCCGGACTCAATCCTAGTACCATTTGCTTCAAAAATCGACATGTTGTTCACTAAGCTACTGAGCCCAGATAGACAATCGTGCTGCGAATATGAGATACGACTAAATTTGAAATGGTAATGGAATATCTAAATATCGATATTTTGAATGAAGTTTGATCAGTCTTGTTTGACGTATGGACATTTCATGCAGATTGTCTCGATATGGCCATTGTTACACTAGTTTATGTGGAATAGATAGAATGTGTTCGGAGCTGGATGCAGGTACCTCTAACTGACGAGTACGGCTAGACGCGAGTTCTGGATCTCACTGCTAGCCACATTCTACCTCTTCGATAGAAAATTACGTCCGTAATATCTTAACTATCATTTAAGTGATCTATTTATGTATTTACTAGTTTTCTAATACACTTTCTCCTCAACATTTTGGAAAATTCTCTTCACTGTTTTCCATATTTCAGTAAACTGATCTTGCGCCTGATAATGTGGTAATTATTGGTATCTAGAAACCATACTTCAGTGAACCAAACACACTCACTTGAACTGCATGACATACAAATCTATCAGCTAATGCCAAAATGACAAGAATTAGTCCAGTAAAATGGACGAACTACCTCTCATTAAAATTTACCAAATATCTGAAACAACGGGATATGTACTGAAACGTAGCCGAACTTTTTATGGTTCTGTCATTATATCCTCGTGTAGACGAGTTAGGAAGCAACATTTGAGGTTTCATACATTTTTATGGAAGTAATGTAGAGGTCAGAGAAACCGAATGAACTAAACAACATGGAGATCTAAGCACAGTTTAGGATTTTGAGAGAACTACCTATCCGGTTAGTGTGGTCCATTTCTATTTGCGTCAGAATATTGTGGCACATAGCAAGAAGAAACAAGAGCAGAGACAGATTCAAATCTTTGGAAATCATGGTTCTTCTAGATGATTATGTACTGTATGACATGCTATCATAATAATTGTCTGTTCAGATAACTGAATCATCCACGTCAATTGTGCACAAAAAAGGTTGAAAAATGAAAGATTATTATTCAAAATCTGGTTCTGAATCATGAAACTGAAAATTCAATTTCATTAAGTTAACAGATATTGGATAATTTGATATTTTTTTGATCTATCAAATTATGATGGCGACCATAGTAACAGATGTAATTAGTTGACCTCGACCTTCACAGAGGACTGATAAGGCCAGATAGTGGTATCCTTAGACTTTCCTGGTCAACATTTTAAATTTCAACCTTAGAATCCCTTTTCAGTACTAATGACATCAAATGCCACAGTGACAAGCAATTCAACGACAGAAAGAGTAGTAAAAAGTAATTCTGTGACTTTGATATATGTTTTCATGTATAATAAAATTTATTAACTATAGTGGGTTATGCTAGTAGCTAGCGACGATAAATGACTGTGAATTTGTGATTTATTTATAAACTTAGCTTCTAACGAAAAAGTTATAACTCGTCTATTTTGCATCATGTGTACACTGTACATTTGACTGGAACGTCTTACACGGTCAAATGGTATTAGCCCCATCAGTGAACGATTTCGAGAAGCTGGATCTTCGCAGGGATTCACACAGGTTGACCGACCTACCATCTTTGTTGCTGAAATGGAAACATGTACAGTGTAGTAGTATTATGTGAAAGCATCCCAATGAAGCAAGAATGGGAAATACAGGCGATATTACCTCAGAAAACTTGGTGTGAATTCAGGAGCCATTGCATCGAAATGTCTCCCTTCTCGTCTAGGCTGGGGAAATAATGAGGCATTCCGTCTGAATTCCTCACTAGAGGCTAAATATCTATAAATTTTCACTTCAATGGTTGTCAAATTGTCTACTTCTCGCCTACATTAACACCAAATCGTCCAAATTTTGCCTAAATTGACGCAAAGTATTCTACTTTTCGTCTAAATAGTCCGTGTTAGGCGTAGAAACAGAAGCTCCTATTTAACGTCCCCATTTTTGTTTAACTGGGGGAGTAGGAAAAATTTGTGTACCAAGAGGATAATACGTTGTGTTGACCTGTATTCTTTAAGCCATATTTGTTCGCGCTATCCTGGGTAAAATGGATTTTTATTCGACCGTTTATCATCACTACTTTTGAGTGACCATTAGCTCAAGCTTGACTTCAAACTTTCTCAGCCGGAAATAGTGAAGATATTTTCTCCTCTGATCTGTCCTGCTCGAAAAGTACATTTCCTGTTCCAACTTAACAGGAATTCGAAAGGATGACAATATCAAATGACCAGTGGTTTGTCCCAGAAATACTATAAGTAGGATAAGTATCAGTCCATACATGGAGGATTTATCTTTTAGTATCTTTTATAATACCTTTCAATTCATTACATTAATTTTTAATCAGAAAAAGTTCAGAATCGTTTCATATCTAACCCCTATGTGTTATAGCCGGAATCGATTAATTAAAACGCAGTCTAGTTTTTGATTTCAAAGATTTCAGATGGTTTACGTAGTGCTTATTCCTGAATTTAGTTATCTTGGTTACTATTCCTAGGTTTAAATATTGATGCTGTAAGCACTTTTGATTAACCTAACGTTAGACTTGTTAATTATGTGCCTCGAAACCAGTTTAGTGCCTTTTATGGGTGGCATCCATAAAAATTTAGCTTTAAAAATTAATTCTTCATTCTAAGTGGACTTATTTTGAACATTTAAAAGCCTAACATTATGTAAACTGAATGCAATTTTTTTGGAAGATGTTTGGTTTCAAGGAGATAAGCTGTGTTTGCATAGTAACTAGATATTTTAGCATATGTATTAACTTACCCAAGTTTTTGTTTATTTCATGCTATTCCGAAGCAAAAGAGAAGTATTGGTAGGGAACAAAAATTAAAAGCTTTTATTTTCTCATTAGTTACGATTGATGTTGATGATGTACGGAAAACAAGTGATTGTTGTTTGCCATAATATTTTTGGTTAGTTGATATGTAATCACATAAAACCAGCTCGTTTTACCTGAAGTATTAGTTGCTTGATACCGTAAAATATGAAAGATTATATTTAGTAAGTGCGGAGGTTATCAAACCCTCTTATTTTGAGACACTATTTGTTTTTTTTTAACATTTCCGAAACATTCGGGTCAGGAATCAGTTTTCTATGTCTATTGGTTATAAACTAGACTGAAACTCTAAGTATTACCTATTACTACTTTGGCTACCGCTATTTTAGTTCCCCAATGAACTCCACTGTCAGAACTCTCATTCAAATTTCTGGTAGAGGTATTGACAAATGTAATTTTGTTTACATTTAGATTTTGTGAAACTAATTCCTTTCCTGTAAAATCTCTGATTAAAATATTCCTGTGAGTTTTACTAGGCTAAAAGTTTAATAAAATGCTCAATCTTAGTAATGTTTAAGAAATTCCGAAACTTCGTTTTCTTTGAATTTAATGTAGAAAAATTTGAAAATTTTTAGTATATAGCACGTATGGCAATATTTGAGAATTCGGCAAAGGTTAGAAGCATGTATTTACATGTACAACAGAAAGTCTCATCTGTTATCTCTGTTTCAGATAAGCGCATTTGTTGTATTTCTTCAAGAGTTTGACAACGGTCAGTATTTTAGACATAGCTGATAGTGTATTTGTACTTCGTTGTTTATTTTATTATTTGTTCAGGGAGGAGTGTAGGAAATTTTCAATTTCACATTTTAATCAACTCAGGCATTGTCTATATACTAAAATAACACTGGCAAAATTAGATAGTACTTTTGTTGAGAATATTATGAAATTAAATTATGACCTTCGTAGAGTTTTAGAAGACGGTCTCATTGGCGGATAACGAAGGGATTTCGATAGCTGTAAACAAGTATGTTTCGTACCTCAACAAGGGACTTAGGTAGTTATTACTACTACCACACATTGTGTGAATTGTGTTAAAGAGATAATTCATTCAGTGTCAGAGCTTATCTTTCGTCGATGTATAACGAGACATAATCAGTGTTGTTACCTTTGTAAGTTATTCCTTTCTGTGATCAGGACTTGTAATTCTAAAATTGCAGAAAATTTTGTCGATAAGTGCTGCTTTACATCTCAGATGTCCAGGAAAGATGAATACAGAAACTTAATAGGCACACATGGAACATGTTTTTCCAAAAGATTGGTGAAAGGAACATTAGTAGTATTTCACTGGGATATAGAATGAATTTCCTCAATACATGTTATGTCAATAGCTAGGTTTCTGAAGAACTTATTTTGTTAATATCAGAGTGAGGTCGTTAAAGTTCGAAAGTTTGAACTGCTTTGGGTTTTAAATTAACAGATTCCGATTTCCTTAAGTATAAATTTCAAAATTGAAACTGTTAATGACTCTTTGGTACAGGTAGATCAAGTTTCATTACAGTGCTTGTTAGTCAGAGTAAGTGTAAAAGCCACTTATCACTTCAGGGTCTTCGATCACATGTCATTGGCTGGTTTTGAAATTAGGTTTTTCAACTTCTCGATGCTCACTCGTTATTCATTGAATGATTTTAAATCTACACTTTTTTATCCTTACTTCTGTCGGAAAAGCAATAACATGTAAAAGGATTAATAAACATTCTCTCCGTCTAAAATTCAGTAATTGGTGTCGTCTACTGTTTTCTTGTATATTTTAGGTTCGATCTTTTTGTCATGTTGAAGCTCTTGAATTCATTTAAAACACCATACATTTAGGATATATTGAGCTTCCACTTTATTTTTTTCAATGCACTTCATTACAATTCTACCGTGTGCCTATATTTAGTACATATAAACTGCTTTTTTATCAGACACGCACGTTAGATATATTAACTGTAACATACTCAGTTCAAAACTTAAGATTTTATCTGATTGACTTCTATTTTGATCTCCATTAACTACTTGGAATATTAATCAAGACTCCTTTTGCTGATCAACGTTTATGTTTGCAAAATACTTTCCAACCGATAAACACTGGCAGATTTCTGTCCAGGTTGTATATTAAGATTCGGTATTGATATTTTTCGAGATTTTCCGTAAATAAAACGCCTAACTCTTGTGCTTATAATGCTTTGTTGCTCTCACAGGTAAAGTTATACTGTTTGGTAGGAAAATATAGCTTGTGCAAAGCTTTAATGAGTGTCCAAGTTGCTTCATTGAGCTTACATTATGGCAGGATTCCTTTGGCAACATTTGGTGTTTCAGGATTAACACATTAGTTTGTGAATGGTTAAAAGCTTAATAGTGAGTTATTCACTGTCTAGTTGACTGGTATTCATTTATGCAAAGTTAATTTAGACTTAGTATTAGTTGGTCACCAGTTCTTAAACCGGCAAAACTTAGTCTTTGGCGTTCATTCTTTTACATTTTAAAAGTAATATATACAAATAGCTCTGTAATTTGACTGGGTTATCTTGAATTATAAACTTTTAAAGCTACTAAATCATAGTACGTCTTTCGCTACTTTCTTCAAATTGTCTATTCGGTAACATACTATGCTGGTGATAGTGTGGAGTATTTCTGAAATCATCATTTGTGTCGAGATTACTAAACTGTTTATTGCTTTTAGATCTTCATGCTTCAACTGGTCATGTAGTTTACTTTAATCAAACTGCCGACCATATTGTTTCGATTGTCATGAAGGACTAGTTAAGGATAAGGTTTTCCAGGGTTTAGAGTTAATAACTTAAATAGCATAGTTTACCTATAGCAGAATGTGTAAAAATAAGGGTTCTGAAACAGATTACTGTCACCTAACGACAAGTAATTTCAAGTCACTTCAATATAAATTCGAACTCAAGAGCATTTCCTTCAATTCCCAAAACACGACTATAATTATCATTTGCTAACTCAATTTCTATATCTAGGTATCCCTCATCCACCCACTCACCGTTTGACGCTGGAAGAAGTGTTTGACAACAAAGGAGAACCTCGAATTAAAGAATTGAGACAACATTTTATACTTGAAGGTCGAGTTACTGAACAAGTTGCTCTGAAGATTATTCGTGCTGGTGCAGCGTTATTACGAGATGAAAATACAGTTTTGGATATTGATGCCCCTGTTACTGGTAAGTTAACTTTTGCTTCTAGTTTGTTGGTAGCTAGATATTTTTTATCCACAAACATGCGTCCAAGTTTGTTGTTGTGTTATCGTCAGGGCTGTCCAATCTCTCCATTCCTGTTTAACGTTGTCGTAGAGATGCTTTTAGGGTTGACTTTATCTTCGTCCGACTTTTCAGGGTTAGATATCCTACTAGGAGAGCCATTGGTTGACTTAGAATATGCCGATGGCATAGTTCTATTTGGTGAAGACGCTGAAAAAATGAAATATATTCTGACTACCCTAAGCAACAATGCAAGCATGTTCGGGATGCGGTTTTCTCCCTCGGAATGCACAATGTTGCTTCAAGATCGGGTTTCATCGGTGCATGAACCTAGTGATATGGAGTGAAGTAGTCGAGGGTGTAGACCGCTCCACTTATTTCGGCAGTCTCGTCAGTGCCAATGGCCTGGTGGCTGACGAAATCTCAGCATGGAAACAGAAGGCTCGATTGGCTTTAGCTAACTTGCGTCACTTATGGCGTAGGCAAGATATGCGTTTGATAACCAAAGGACGAGTGTACTGTCCAGCAGTTCGCTCCGTCCTACTTTATGTCTGTGGAACGGCCGGTCAGAGTAGAAGATATTTGTAGGTTACTAGTGTTCAATTATAGATGTCTCCGAACTATTGCTCGTATATCGTGGGACAACCGAGTAAGCTATGTTGTCGTTAGGAAATGAGTACTAGGTACGGATGGCAAATCAGTAAATGAAGTATTGAAACTTTATCAGTTGAGGTGAATGGCACATGTGTTACGAATGCCAACCACCGACTGTCTTGACGAGCGATATTTTTTGGTGTAGGAGTAGGTCGGAAGAAAGCTAGGGGCGGCCAAACCAAAACATGGAAGAAATCCATGAAGTCACTGACAAGTGGACTAGGTGATGTTGGTAGATGGAGGCTATCTGGTTGAGGTCCGCGAGACGAAAGTCATCAATGGTTAGAGACCTTGAACGACATGGCTCAGAATCGTTTGTAATGGCACAGGTGCATTCATTCACTGTGTTCTCTGAAATTCTAATCTTCAGAATTCCTCTCCATCTATATCTTTCTCCTCCTAAAGTTAACTCATTGAACTACATTTCTTGAATAATATCTGCGATCCCTAATATTTTCCATTACTGCTAATTCCTCTACTATCTCCACCACTATTGGATTTGAACTGACTGTGGCGTCTCTGTGCTAATGCGGTATGGCAACCTGAACTGACGTACGCACGTATGAAGTTATACGTTAAAAATGTCTAACTGACTGACTGTTGTGGTGCTGTACCTTTGGTATAATGACTTGAAGAATTTTTGGATTTACGTTTCGACACATTGCTATAAATTTTTAATCATTTATCGGTAGACATTGTACAATTTACTCAAATACCTAGATATGGTCAGACTTACATAAAGCTTTATCATATATATTTTTTCTATGTACAAAATTTTCATGGATGTCATACTAGAGCATTACTTGTATTTGATAACTGGATGTTTTAAAGCAGCCGATACGCAACATCAAACAAATTATCTAATTATAAGCAGCAGTACAATCCATGAATCTCACTCGATACATCGATGCCTAGATGCAGATATATCCAGCAGGCGAATCCCAAGTGTGAAGAAACATGTGACCTGGATATTAATAACGGAAACAATCGACATCCGTTCAGGATAGACTTATGTCAGTAGAGGCAGCTTAGCTGGAGTCCTGAATATCAAATGCGATTGGTTTATGAAGTTTTTTCAATGAAATTTATAAGCTCCGAATGACTGGACGACACTGTTATTCAACTAAGGGTAGAATACCATTAAACTAAGCTATATTCCAGTTTCAGTAATAAGGACAGTAGGTTGGTTGATTTGTGCTCAACCCTTGTGGATTATTTTCCAGTGAAGATCCAGATTCTTGAAAGTTTTCAATGATGCTGATACCACTTGTTCGGGTAAGGCGTTCCAGTTATTGACCACTCGATGTGGGAGACGAAATCTCACTGAATTTATTTTTTAGTCCTCTTGCAGTTGCTTTGGAGATAATTAGTTCTAGAGAGAGCAAAGAGGTAGGACAAGATAAGGTAAAAAAGTTTAGACGTTTTAGGCAGTCATCCAAAGGGACTTTGGAAAAACCCGTCACCAACTTAGTTTTCACATGCTGGACACACTCCAATACGGTAGCATTTTTAGTCAGGCATGGTCCAGCTGCTTGACTGCAGTACTGTAGGCAAGGTCTCACATAGATGGGCTATAAAAACCGAACCATATCCTCATTGAAGCTCATAGGGCTAATTAAAGCATCCTCCCAATCCTTAGGGAGTTGGGCTTGGGTAAAGGACATCTTGCGAGGCATCATGATTGGCTGTGCAATAGTGGCCGCGAAGAACAAAAGCAATTGTGGGTGTAACTTCATTCCGTCAGTTAGCAACAACGTAGAACTTCGTACATACGTAAATCAGTTCGAGTTTCCATGCAACATTAGCACACGGATATAATTTTCAATTAGCGGTAGTGGAACGTATCAGGGATCGAATATATAGTTGAAGAAGTATAATATCCTAGTGAAAGAAATTTAGAAAGACAAAAAAGGTCATGAGGAGTTCAGAAGATTGAAATTTGAGAGCACACAAAGAATGGATGCACCTGGACCATTGCAAATGATTTTGAGCCATGTCATTCAAAGTTTCTAGCCATCGGTTACTATTGTCTCGCGGACCCGAACCAGGTACTCTACATTTACTAACATGGCTCAGTCCAGTTGTCACTGACTTCATGGATTTGTGCCATTTTTTGGTTTAACCGCCCCTGGCCTTCTTTCAGCCTACCCCTACATCAGAAAACATTGCTCATCGAGGCAGTCATTGGTTGGGCATACGTAACATACGTCCCAACCATCTCGTTTGATGAAGATTCACTGCCTCATAGCTAAAATATTTTGATAAGGTTTCGGCCTTGACCAAATCTGAATTTTCGTGCAACAATAATGAGGGAATTTCATTACTACGTTTTGTTCTTCGGTTAATGCCCGAATACAATCATTTTGAGCAAGTAAGGCTATCGTATGCCAACTGTTTTTAATGTGCAGTGGCTTCTTGCTATGGTCTTTTTCCATATGTTCTGAAATTTCCGGTATTCACACTTAAAGGATTCGTGATCCATTGACAAGAACAAATTACAGAAGTGTTTCCTACATCGCAGCAGTCTCCGGATGTTTTGTTTATAAGGTCGCAAGCGTTTGTGCAGCACACAAGGTGTTTTGGGAATCACTCGTTCTACCCGAACAGGTCTCGTAAACATTGGTTTCCAAGACCTGATTACCCGTTAACCCTGAATCCTAAGGTTTGTTTCGCCATTCTATTGTCGAGTTTTCAATTGTGTAGCAACATTCTTCCATTTGATTCGATCTTCGAGTAACCAATCAGATCGAATTCAAATATTCGTACTATAAGTTTTGTGTACGTTATTTATTATAACTTCCCTTTCCTTCGTTACTTCCGAGTCCTAGTTTCAAGATCCTTTTTGTTTGGCTCTCGTCTCCAACCCTCGTAACGAGTCTTATTACTTTATTATTATGTACTCCTAAAACCCCTTCCGATAGTAAATTTCTGATGTCAGATTCCACTAACTCCCGATCATGTGCATTCCATTTATCAGGGTCTCGTTCTTTTAAATCTTCCAAATTCAAGATAATTAAACTAGGAACCGATTTAACTTCTAAAGTCGTGTTTATGACTTTCGATTAGGTTGTGGTTCACTTACCACTGGGTGTTTTCTTTCAGTTGGATTTTTAGTTTTGACTTTCGAACAAATCTATTCATCTATGTCATTTAGTTTTTCTTGTGAGAGAGTTTTGTTCTCTTCACATCCTATAGTTGCATCAACTCCAGTAACAGTGCCAAGAGTTGATGCGCTTTCGATGAGTGCTAGTTTCCTTATCCTGACAGTTCGAGACTTATTGCGATTATGTGTACTATTGGTTTGAACAGGAGTTGTTTCCTCTCTAATTATGTCTATAATTGGTGTCTCAGCCTCTTGATCTAGAACAAGAGCTGAGCTAACGGCACTAGCGACTGTACATGTCACTTCATAATCATCTGGTGTTAGATCAACTGAGTGGACACTGTCACTCGGCAACTTCTTCACCAGAGTAAGAAGCTCCAAGAATTCATTTGAGGGAATCGCTTTGGTAAGGCAGCATCCTATACATAACCATGGTAAGACCGGTTAACAACATCTATATGAAGCTGCATACCATCTTCAACAGGGAATAATCACAATTATCTACCACATCAATGACTGTATTACCGTTCTAACTCGAATGATGTAGATAAAACGAGAAAATTTCGAGCAGCTAACCACATAACGTCGTTACTATAGTAACTATTAAAATGTACTAAAACTGTGAATTTGACCAGTGACAGTTAAAGCAACCGAACGTCAAAAGATAGCAAACCTAACTCAGGAAAAAGATAACGGAAAAACAGTGTACTTGTATGCACGGATTACACACTGACAAAAAACGTCAACTAGTGAAAGCTCAATTAAAAAACGTGTTAAAGAGATACTTCACACTCCAAATAGCGCTAAATATTATCTTAAATGTAACTTCCGGAACGATAAACGCAACAGAAATATGATAATTCAACACGTGGAAAAATTCACTCCCGTTTCTCAAAACGCACAGCAAAGGTTGATCAAAATACACAGAATTTGGTACTTGATGTTTGGAAGCATGTAATTCAAAATTTTAAACTTAGTATTTGTCTTTAGTGGTTCGCTAATCAATCATATACGTTTACGTAATGGAACCATCTATCTCTGTAAAAACGGACTCTTTTTTCCTCTTTGCGAATTTTAAATTTACGACTTTTCGATTCAACTATTGTTTTAGTTTTTCTTCTATATTTAAATATTGGGAATATTGGTGCAAATCAATACATCTAATTTTTATTTTTGAAAATTAGCAGATGGTTATTTGTGATGATTGAGTATTCTCATGTGACCCACTCAGGAGGTAGCAATTGTTACACTTATAATCTATTTCTAGATTAGATACATTTTATAGCAATGAACATGGAAGATTTATATTAATGTTAAGTGTACCTTATCTAACCCACTTGTTTCTCACTACTGCACATGCTAAGTAGCCAAGTAAAATATGAACACCTGTTTAATATGTATGCCCTTGTTACACATAATGTACATCCATATGGTTAGCAATATTTTCTTTGATTACTTCAAATGTATGCCTTGTGCACGTGATTTAAAAACCGATATTTTATTTCCATATAACCTCATGTTCAAAAAATCTTTATTAATAATATTAAAATATCCTAATGCCCACTAAGAATAACCGATTCACTACTATATAGTATGCTTATTAATGTGTATAAAAATAATTACATGTCAGTAGTAAAATGTGCGTCTAGAGGCATAAATGAATTTCTAGTGAAAGTATATCAAAATATGGATCCATAAAAATGTGGGGTAAGATTCTAAGCATCATTTCGTTTTTGGTACCTGTGGTCGTTTTATTCCCCATAAAGGCTAGTTATGTTTATAACTCAATGCCTTACATGGTTTTAACTACCCAAAGTTTTTTCCTCCCTACTTTAACAGTACATTCAACTCATATAAAACAGTGTTATCCCGGCGTTTGTAATGTTTTGAAGGGATCAAGGATAAAAAAAAAACGCTTATAGCTTTCTCACAAATAATATAAATTCTTGACTACGCCTTTTTGGCGAATTAAATGCTGTATATTTGCTATATCTTAGGCAGAAGCTAACAATTTGAATCTGATTAACATTAGTAATTTTAGAAATACTCCACTTGTTTAGAGTTATAAATGCACCAAATCATTATCAGTTTTAAACTGCAACAAAGACTATTATTATTAAGATTAATAAGTAAAACTATTATGATCATTATTAATGTGTGTCAATTTTTCAATCTTTTAAAATTAATTGGCAGGTATACATGTAATTGAAAGGGGAATAGTCTAGAACAAAATGAATAGTTAATCATAGGAATATCCTCTTGGTCAAGGTAGTCAGTGGTTGGGCATATACAATATATCGACGGGCGATATGTCGTTTTCGCTGTAGTTAAGTCACTCAAAATAATAGTAATAACAATGAGAATAATGATACTGTTTCAAGGAATGAACTTAATTCACCAAAAGTTACTTTGTTCATTCATTTGAGCAGTAATGGCTAGAAATATTTTTTCGATAAATATTTCTATGATGAAAGTATTCTATCTTTTAGCTATGAATACTTACATAATAAGGATATTATAAGACAACCTTAAACCAACATGAATAAAACCAATTGCCTATGGCTTCTTGGACTCGTACCAGTTTTTTATGACCACCTTAAGCCTTTCTAATTGTTTACAAATCAGACAGTACATCTCGAGGTTGATGACACTACCTTGACACATGTAGTACATATTCTGTCTTTATAGTTCAAAAGTTAAGGGTTCGACACAAGACGTCGGCGTCCTGGGTTCTATCTGCAGTGTGATTGTGAATGCGTAATACTGAGTTTTATACTAGGATAAATCAGATTCCTTCTTTTAAGTAGTTGTTTAACTAAGGTCAACTCGTGATGAAAACTGCAGATTCGGTTTATTTAGAAACCAGATTTCAATCTTCACCAATACAAACTTACTACGATTATTTCCGTTTTTTACTTGAATTTGTTCTGTATGTTATGTTATCCTTTTTCGCAACAATTTTTATTTTTTAGTCTGTGGAGATATTCATGGACAATTTTTCGATTTGATGAAACTATTTGAGGTTGGAGGAGATCCTGCAACGACTAGATACCTTTTCCTTGGAGATTATGTGGATAGAGGATATTTTAGTATCGAGGTAAGATGAATGTTTAAGAAATAAACCTTATGACATCGTTCTTTTTTCTTCTGTTTTTTTCGTTCTGGAAGAGTTTACTTATTTATTACTCTTTTTCGTAGTCAAGCGTATATATTTTTTCTCGTGAACATTGTATATAGCTGTCACATCACTTATCTGAGATGTCATATCAAGCTTGATGTGTTAGTGTCTGATGGAAATCTCCGATTTATGAAGTTCAGTTGTCCTTTGTCACCTTGCATCACTTGTAGCGTAGGCATAGCTACATCTACTCTATATTTTCTCTGTAGATCCGTAGTCCTTCTCATACCTGCCTTGTCATTCTGACTTTTTTAGATCTACATTCACGATATTCAGTATTTCTCGTCTCATTGTTCTTAACATTACTTGGATTTTGTCTTGGTATATTATTGGTCTTTTTAAATGCATTTCTTCATACTGATTGGAGGAGTATGGCAACTGCAATCGATACACATTTCTGCGAATATTCTAAATTGTTATTAGTATTTCTATGATTGCTTTAATTACTGAAATACTATTTTTATATTTCATCCATATTAAATAAATAAACTAAACAAATTGTGAAAATTTATCTTTGAAGTTCTTCTATTATTTTTTTTCTTTTTTTTTTCAAACATCTTTTCTAAAATAACCATTGATATTTTCTGTGACCTTTGTTTTCTTTTCTGTTTTTTCTTTCTTTCTTCGCATTCTTTATTTTCAAATATAATTGAGTTTACTACTAGTAGTGTAATCATTCTTTAATTTATTCATACTTTTCTTCTTTTAAAACGTGATTATTATTAAAAATAAAATAAAACAAAAACAGTTAGTTAGTTATACCATCAGAAGAACATATTTGAGTGAACATTCATCTTTTATTAGAGTGTATGTAAGCTGAAGCCTGATAATGATCTAATAATGAACAACTATGTTGTTGTACACTGTTATCAGTGTTCTCAGTCGCGCAAAAGGGAATCTTAAATAATTAATTAATTATATCAACTATACAGTCAGTATCTTATTTAGAAATAAATATATATGTATGTTCTGAAAATAATTTCATCATAATGTTTGTTTGTATGCCTGATGCAATATATAAAGGATGTAACATGTGATCAGGAAGAAATAACAGCATATAATTTTAAAAGATTTCAAAGTCATAAATTGTTCTGATAGAATTCTTGTCACAGAGAGTGTATAGTAATAATATGAAGCCATATTTGGATTCCGTTATTTTCTTAGTTGAATAATGTATTAAGATGTCATGTTTGAGAATATCTCATGCAGCGAAAAACAATTTCAGTACAGGTTCATTCGTAAATGACGAGAAGAAAACGAGAGCATAGGTTATAGAAGGAATAACCAACACAATTACTGTGATAAAACTAGTATCGTATAATGTGCCTGACCGGATTCAGTGATCTACTGATTTCAGTAGATTTTATTTGAACTGATCAACTGTTCCATATGCATTCCTACAATGATGATATAACATTTGCAATAAATCAGAATATAGCCTGAAGGTAAAATATTTCACATAAGGAGAAGTCTAATAAGTAAATTCTTATTTAACTCACTTCGGGCATTATTGCTATAATTTTTTCCTACATGAAAATTTCTTGTAAATAATATTGTTTTCCATTTTGTGTGTGTTAAGCTGGTCTCTTAATACGTCTCCTAATATTGAATTAAATTAGTACATTTATCAGTTTATGATGACTGCCTTATTATTATTATTATTTGTTTTTTCTTCTGTAGTTCCCTAGGATTTGATTTTTATTGATTAGAAGTATTTATTTTTAATTGATAGTTCATAGTGTTCTTATTAAATTGAGATAATTGTATACTGATGTACTGATTTATCAAGTAACTGAAATTTATTTGTTTAAGTTAATTAATGGTTGGAAATTTTAAATGTCCCAGAGGATGTTTAATGATTAAGCATCATCACTTCACTTTGTATATATATATTTAAATGACTCTACTCTATCTGCCTTGATTTTCGGAGATTTAATATATAATTTCTGACTTGAACTTCAATACTAGGGTTGTATTCTTACTTACTTACCGATACTGGAAAAAATTCACAATCCAGGTCTGTGCATTTACCCCACATTGCTTGTCCTTATAATCAGAACAGCTGGAGGTTCTAAACTGTTCTTTACCTATCCATTAGCACTGAATAGCTGAAAACGGACAATTCAACGTTCTTTTATGTGATATTGCATGGAACATGCATTATTGCAATCTATAACCTGCTAACATTATTTCTATTGCTCAGCTGTTCATTTTTTTAAATTTCTACTCATTGTATTGATTTAAAATGTAGTGGTGATCTGTGCTGATGTTTTGTCTGTGTCAGGGTTTACTTTGTTTATGAATGACTATTTTTATTTGCGCTTCATCAAATTTTGTTTCATGTTTACGAATTGCCGTATAATAAGACTGAAAGGTAGTGACTTGTAAGTTTTAAAATTCTGAATTGTAAAGTTGGGAAACTAAGATAAGATATCTATAAATTGTGTTTCGTCTTAAACTTTCTAATGTTATCTGTGCATTTTCATATACATTGAACTGAAAGGTATCGCTTTTTGTTTGAAATTTAATGTCATTAGGTAAAGTATTATTAATCTTCGTAATTCTACTCAACATAAAATAGGATTGAAATGAAAAATACTTTTGGTTTCTATCTGTAAACTAATGAAAGTAGTCAGTTAGTGATACTCTTACTGTTAGACATTCATTTACTCTTCATTGCTTTTTAAATACTGAAAAACTTATTCTACTCAATTTCTTTCTCGATTTTGAATATCCTTACTTGCTGTTTTGCCATTTTCAGAGGGTAAGTGTTGCTATTTTCATTCGAATCACATTACTGTCTCATTAGCATTATTTTTCAGTGAAGCTGTAACTTAGTGGTTAAAAGATGTTCGATTTTAAGCCCTTAAGACGAAATCTTAAATCTCTCACAGCCCACTTCGACTCAGACTATCGGGTAGTATTGGTAACCCTCGTAACTAGCCTGTGCCTTAAAGCTTAATGCGCAGATGAATAAATACCTGGTAGATGAATTGATAAAAAAGGTTTTTTTACAACGTATTGTTGTGAATCTTACTCGGTCTTATTGTGCTCACTGAACTAAGACTGACAATCTAAACTGTGTAATGGCTTGACATTATTTTCCATTTATAGATGAGAATTAAAATATTTCTATTCGTTTTATGCATCATTCTTTTCATTTGGATAGTAGTATAATTGACTTGTTGTCAATTACTGTGCATTATTTAACTAATTGTGCCAAAATTATAACTGTTTATGTTTGCACTTACTTAACAGTGGGATTCCTTGTTACATTCATTTGAGTTATTTCTCCTCGGACTTTGTTTTTTTCATTTTAATCACATTGATTGTTTGATGGAAACAAATTACTAAATGGTGTTTTGCAAATGAATTCATTTGAAATTGTTCAATATTCGTTATAAATTATCTTTTAAGTTGACTTGTCTAACTTCTCAACTTTTAACTATTGAATTGTATATTCGCTAAAACTTCACTTTATTCTACAAGTAGGTTGTGCCCTCAGTAGTAACTTCTGTGTAATACGTTTCTCTCAAAGCTGTAGCAATGGCTTAGTGGTTTGATTATTCATCCCGCTCTACCTACATCAGTTGTGGTATCCAGTTGTGATAATAATCATATTCTCGTTCTATTTGCCAACACATACACATACAATTTAGGTGGAAAGTGTCAATCTGAAAATGAATTGCCGTATCTCTTGGGAAAAGTAGATGGCTTTATTCAATTTTATTTTCTTTGTAATGTCGATGAAATATTTAACAGCTGTATTATTCAAAGGAAATTTTTATAGTTTGGAATTTTTTAGTTCGTCTAAAAGCAAATTTATTCTATTAAACATGATAATTAGCCTTAGGACATTGACTTCGACGAAAGAAATATGAAATTCAGTAATTACTAGACATAATGTTTCATTTTAATCTCAAACTTTTTATTAGTGCTCACTTATGATTGCTACCTGCACAACAGATCCATCCCGAAGTTTTTATATCTCATGTTTAATATGGACTTGTTGAAATCGAGGTATTATAACAGGCGCCTGTCATAATTTTCTTTGTAGAATACAGCAGAGGTATTTATTCTCCTTTTTATTTCAATTCAAAATGTTTTCTATGTAGTAATCTGCGCTAAATTTCATTTCTTTGAAGTTTTGTCTTCTTCAAGTTAAAGAAAAACAAAATATCAACATTCGATAATTAGTGAAATGCTCTTTTTTCCAAGTCTTATATTAACCGTGCTTTTGTAATTATTTGGTTGTTTATGGGTAACCATGTTCGTTTTTTATATCATTATTCATGCATAATTAATAAAAGTTTACATTTAATTGCATCACAGCACATTTGCAATAATTTAATATTTCGTGTTTTATGTTTCGTTGTTTGTTCAATAAAACTTTTAATTAAATATTTACAAAGATCAATACATTCCTCTTTTTGATCTATCTTTAAAAAGCGATCGATTGTATTTCAGAGAAACTCAGATAATCTTGTTGATTGACGTGTAAGATGTTTAGAGGCCGGTCTGCTCTTTGCATACAAAAAAGGAGCCAGAGTTTATGAACTATTATTCAATATTTTGAGAAGCTTATCATTTACAAGGTGGTTGTATCAACTGACTGTGGTTAAAAATGTAGTTGGTTAAATTTAAATATTTCTAGAATTTCTTAAATCAGAACTTGACTACTTAGGTTGTCTTTTTGAGTTCATCTGACCATACTAATAGAGTACGGGAACTTGGCCCGACCATAGCTGCTACCCTGACGTGGTGGTCGGGCTTGCATATCGTGATGACCCAACAGAGCTATATTGGCTGAACCTTATGTTCCTGTAGGTTCTACCATGCCAGGCAGGTCGATTAGAGAACGATAAGAATGAAAGCAGCAAATCAAGGTCTGAGGGGGGAGTGGTACTACTGACTGCAGC